TAGATCACGTGGGTAACCACGGCAACGCTAATTTAAAATTCTACAGTACTGTTAGTGCTTTTGAGGATATCTGCGGAGGAAATAGCGAAGCTTCTTAACACAGGGAACACAGAGGATTCTACTCTTCTCACTCTGCTAGGAGAATACTTCTACTCCCCTACGCAGAGCCAAGGTAAGCTATAGTATGTAATTATTAGTAATGAATATTGTTTTACTTGTTTATACAAAGTCAATAACAACTGATAACAGCAAAACAATTAAAGCAACTATTATTATGCCATAGCATATTTGGACTGTGAAAGCGATGATGGTGAAGATGAATGTGATGGGCTCTTGGTAACAACCCCGGAGCAGCTGCACTTCACATCACTGCAGGAGCTTTCACAGCACCTGGAGCAGCAGGAAGAGGGGTATGATGATGAAGAACCACTCATCACTCCTGCAACTAGCAACACCATAGTTGTGGAGCCAACGGATCTAGAGCTGGATGAGAGTGCTGTGGATTTGAGAGAGGAAGGAAATTGAGGCATTATACTCTAGTGGGTGTTGTGCAAAGAAGTGCGACACACAGTTTGAGAAGGATGATCTGATGAGAGTGGGCGGGGATTTTCAAGAACTGACGAAGGGCCAACTGGAGATGACTATTCTTGCACACCTGATGTCTTCAACATCTTGTGAAACAGTTGAGAGGAATAGGAATGAGTATGAATACAGGGAAAAGAAAGTATTGAACAAAAAATATCTATAACAATAAATTATTTCTTGTCTTTTAAAAATAGATATGTAAGAAGCTCTTCTTGTTCATATACAGTATCAGAAATGGTACTTACAAGAACTTGAGGCATTTCCTTCAAAATGGAATAAAACCTAGGTAAAAATAATAAGAATAATCCAAAGGAGAGTAATTAAAATTTCTATTGAAGGGTTCATGGGAACACACTGGTTGCATTCAATGTCATGTTCTTTCTGTGGAAAGCATTAAAGATGTGGTAGCATTTTTGGAGAACTATGCTCAAGACTACGGCATTTTACTACCTGGGAGGATACCTGGAGTGAGGGATTATGGGAAGGCCAAGCTATTGCCGTCCAGTGTGTCCCGACGCATGGTTTACTGGCAGTATGATGATGCTGGTAGAGAACATACTCTCAGTGAAAGTTCCTTTAAAAGAATATGGAGAAACTATGTTCCCCACATTTACAGGATCAAGCCAATAACGGACTTATGCTGGACATGCAAGAAGAACAGCACTGTAATTCTAAGGAATGCTGGGTGTGAGATTCAGAGTCAGTCTGAGGTACATTTATTATTATTAACAATGTAATTATTCTTGCCTGTAAAATGCTGTCCCTTAGTGAGTAACTTTGTCTTTCGTTAACTTGTTATTTTCATATTACTTTCAAGAATAATGATAATACATGAACATACAGTACTATTCCTTCATGTGTTAGTAGTATCTAATGGTATTTAAAAGATGTTAATGTGTATGATGTTCTTATTATTAGTATAACTTACCTTAATAGTGTAGCAAAGTGTCCTTTACTGTTTTGCAGCTGTATTGCTTGAGGTGTTGGGAATATCTAATTGTATACAAGAAATGGTAATGTGTATTGTGAACTTATTATTAGTATAACTTACCTTAATAGTGTAGCATAGTGTCCTTTACTGTTATTTAGTTGTATTGCTTGATGAGTTAGGAGTATCTAATTGTATACAAGAAATGGTAATGTGTATTGTGTTCTTATTATTAGTATAACTTACCTTAATAGTGTAGCATAGTGTCCTTTACTGTTATTCAGTTGTATTGCTTGATGTGTTAGTAGTATCTAATTGTATTTAAAAGATGTTAATATGTATTGTGTACTTGTTATTAGTATAACTTACCTTAATATTGTAGCATAGTGTCCTTTACTGTTATTCAGTTGTATTGCTTGATGTGTTAGTAGTATCTAACTGTATTTTAAAGATGTTAATGTGTATTGTGCACTTGTTATTAGTGTAACTTACCTTAATAGTGTAGCATAGTGTCCTTTACTGTTATTCAGTTGTGTTGCTTGATGTGTTAGGAGTATCTAATTGTATACAAGAAATGGTAATGTGTATTGTGTACTTATTATTAGTAAAACTTACCTTAATAGTGTAGCACAGTGTCCTTTTCTGTTGTTCAGTTGTATTGCTTGATGTGTTAGGAGTATCTAATTGTATACAAGAAATGGTATTGTGTATTGTGTTCTTATTATTAGTATAACTTACCTTAATAGTGTAGCATAGTGTCCATTACTGTTATACAGTTGTATTGCTTAATGTGTTAGTAATATCTAAAATGTTTGATATTTTCATAGGCAATAGTAGCTGCAAAGGAGCATATTGATCTTGTAAGGCGGGAGAGAGATTACTTCAGGGAAGTGTTGAAGAGGACTAAAGATGCCATCAAAAAGCTGGACTTAACCATGGAAAGGCCAGTGAACCAAATGGTGGTCGAAGTTCACAACAGCTTTGACTATGCGCAACAAGTAAGTCAGTTAGCATCCTTACACATCTTAATCCTAAAATTAATAAATGCAGGTGCATTACCCCAGTGATCCATTGCAGCCTGGTCCCATCTACTTCTAACACCACGGAAATGTGGCTTGTTTACGGTTTGTTGTGAAGCATTCCCTAAGCAGGTTACATACCTAGTGGATGAGGCAATGGACACGGGGAAGGGTGCAAATACTGTTGTCAGCTATGTCCATCACTACATTGAAAACCATGGCGTCAATGCTAGTATGATCCATCTCAATGCTGACAACTGTACAGGTCAAAATAAGAATAATACTCTTATTCAATATTTGACCTGGAGAGTACTGACACAGGAATAAATCTATCAAGATCTCCTTTCTTCCAGTTGGGTATACTAAGTTCTCACCAGACTGGTGCTTTGGGCTCATCAAACAGCTTTTTAGGAAGACTGCAGTAGGTTGCTTGGAGGGTATTGCTAAAGTAGTTGATGATTCTGCAGTAGTGAATGTTTCCCAATTGGTTGGATCTAGCACAGGAGAGGTTTTTGTGCAATGCTTTGATTGGACAGGCTTTCTGCAATGTTTTTTTAAGCGCATAGACGGAATATAAAAGATCCACCATATCACGCTGGAGAAGGATTCACTACTGCAGGGAGACTTCTTAGCTCAAGAATCGATAGATAGTAGCATTAGAAAAGTAAGTTTAATGAGAGATGATGTTACCCTGCCTCCTTCTGATACACTACCGGAGGTAGTACTACCAAAGGGGTTATCAGCAGAAAGGCAGTGGTACCTATATAAAAAAATTAGGAATTTTTGTCCGGACAACAGCAAGGACAAGACATGCCCTTGCCATCTGTTGCAAAGCCTTTATCATCAGCCCACAATACACCTGCAGCACCATCTCTGGCAGGGACAAGTATGGGTGTTCCACTAGCTCCTAAAAGGAGAAGGAAGCAGCAGTAAATGTGGCTTTGTTGGTCACAACTGCCGATCTTTCTGATTGACTTGTGTGTGCAGTGCTCTCTTTGTCTCAGGAATTTCTCGATCTCGTAAGGTAAGCCATGTTATAAACCGCACTTAATAAGAATTTTTGTTAGCCTTTCACATGTACCTGTTGTATTCTCTCTCGTTTTGCGAGTGAAATTACTCTAATGCACTCTCCAGATTTCCTACTCTCTTTAAGTGTCGTTCTATGTTCTACAACATGTTTCACAAGTGTCATCTCATCTCACACTTTCTGATTTGAGTTCATCTCTTGCTGTACGTGTCACTTCTAAGTACACACGCTGTTCTGAACTCTCACTCTGTTCCAGTTCTTTTGGACAACTCTTTTTCTGTCTCCCTTTCTCTACTTCTCTCTTTTCTCTGTCTTCTTTTGTCCCTCCTATGTCACCCACTCTAGCATCTACACATACATCCATCACTACACGTAGGAACTTTCACTCAATACAGGTCTCGATCTCTCTACACGTACATCCATCACTACAAGTAGGAACTTTCACTCAATACAAGTCTCGATCTCTCTACACGTACATCCATCACTACACATAGGAACTTTCACTCAATACAGGTCTTGATCTCTCTACACATACATCCATCACTACAAGTAGGAACTTTCACTCAATATAGGTCTCAATGTCTCAACACGTACATCCATCACTACAAATAGAAACTCTCACTCAATCAGTTAATCTCTACACAAATCAAAACTAAATTTAACATCTCTATGCCCTCCACTCAGTTTTCAACAACAATGAAGAATTTGATTTCAAAATCATTAAGGACAGTAGAAAATTTAACATAACCACATTTTAATTATTGTTCTTCCCTCACAAAGGTATTAGATAAAGCATGCAGTAACAAACGCAGGGTATACCCGTAAAGGACACTAAGCTACACTATTAAGGTAAGTCATTCTAATAATAAGAACGCAATACACATTAAGATCTTTTAAATACAATTAGATACTACTAACACATCAAGCAATACAACTGAATAACAGTAAAGGACACTATGCTACACTATTAAGGTAAGTTATACTAATAACAAGTACACAATGCACATTAACATCTTTTAAATACAATTAGATACTACTAACACATCAAGCAATACAACTGAATAACAGTAATGGACACTATGCTACACAATTAAGGTAAGTTATACAAATAATAAATACACAATACATATTACAATTTCTTGTATACAATTAGATACTCCTAACACATCAAGCAATAATACTGAATAACAGTAAAGGACACTATGTGACACTATTAAGGGAAGTTTTACTAATAATAAGAACATAATACACATTAATATCTTTTAAATACAATTAGATATTACTAACACAATAAGTAACACAACTGAATAACAGTAAAGGACACTATGCTACACTATTAAGGTAATTTATACTAATAACAAGTACACAATACAGATTAACATCTTTTAAATACAATTAGATCTACTAACACATCAAGCAATACAACTGAATGACAGTAAAGGACACACTATTAAGGAAAGTTATACTAATAATAAGAACACAATACACATTACCATCTTTTAAATACAATTAGATATTACTAACGCAACAAGCAACAGAACTGAATAACAGTAAAGGACACTAAGCTGCACTATTAAGGTAAGATATTGTAATAATAAGTACACTATGCACATTACGATCTTTGGTAGACAATTACATATTTCTAACACATTAAGTAATACAACTGTGTAACAATAAAGGACACTATGTTACACTATTAAGGTAAGTTGTACTAATAATAAGAACACAATACACATTACCATTTCTTGTATACAATTAGATACTCCTAACACATCAAGCAATACAACTGAATAACAGTAAAGGACACTATGCTACACTACTAAGGTAGTGTAAACACAAACTCTTACCACAACAAGTGATGTACTGGGCTATAAGGAATGAAGACAAAATATCTAACGTATTCTCAAATCTTTTATGATGTTGAGGGATCATTCATAACATTCTTTACCTGCAAATATCTTGACAATAATTATCATCATAAATATAATCTTTTCAGTGAAACTGTTTTAAATGTTTTTTCTTTGCTTTTCTCGGTCTGTGACATTATGTCCTAACAAGTAGAAATAGAAGGAAAACATACAGTCTGTTTTGTAAGCGCTCCATAGTCTACCTTTGTTGTCAGAGGCTAAGAGGGAATGCACACCATAACTGGAATGGTAACTGGCTCTTCCTTAGTTGGCTTGATGGCTAAAGGAAAAAAAGAACGAGTAACACACTACTGACAACCTAAATCTCAAGCGGTCAATATGCTATGCACATTTTTATTGATCGCCTACAAAATAGAACGCTCCAGCCACTCTAACAATCACGCTTACTGTAAAGCTTACCTTTGTCTTTATCCTAAACAATGATGGAACTAGAGTTTTAAGTAGCAACACCACAAAGCAACTTTTTTTCCATTTTAAAGTTGTATGGTCATGTGATCAGTCATGTGATGTCATTTGTAATACGGAAAGTAAACGGAAACATTAAAAATTGGTTTTACAGCAATTTCTTCTAGGAAGAACGATATACGAAGGCTCATAACTCGAGATAGGTAAGCCGCATTGATGCGCAACAAGCACCAATCGATAGAGACTTGTCAGAGCAATTTTTTGATGTTATAATATAATTTTTCAAATTTTTTGTCTTAAGGCTGATTTTGTCAGACCACGTCATATTTTAGTTATCTGCAAAGCTTTTGACACTCTCTCCCACTCAATCCTACTGGAGAGTGTTAAAGGCTGGCATCACTGGCTCACCTGGGAATTTATCAGTGCATATCCATCCTCCCGTCTCTAGTGTGTATCAATGAACAACAATAAGTGTGATCTTAATCATGTGTCCCGCAAATAAGCTCTTAAGGCCAATCTTGTTTATAATCTATATCAATGACTTACCGCACAAAGTTAATTCCTCCTCTATAATTCTCTTTGCAGGTGATAGCAAGTGTAGGAAAAAGGTTAAAACTAAGGTATTTCATCATCCATGTGGCAGTACGCTTACTACATTGTTTTGTCTTGTGAACAAAACCATAGCAATGAGACTATTTGCATGCCTCTGTGCACAACTTTTTGCAGTCTCTAGACCCATCCGCTCCTCTGCAGCATGAGGCGTCGCTAGCCTAACACTTTCACTGAGTACAACTCATCAAAAACAAATGGCAAACAAAAGTGACCAACAGATTTCCAATAACAGTTTGGCAAACTTGCAATATCATTTCCCTTTACAAAAGATAGGATAACTCGCTTTTGTTTATCTGTAATGCTACTGGGGCCCCAAGCTGTCATCAACAAGGTCCAAATTTTCCATTTTGGTATAACTAAATGACATGACAATCTCGTAACAATTTAGATTGCACATGACTTTGCAATTTGATTGGGATGCCCATAATTCAGACATATTGCACAACTTTTCTACACTATCCACAGACCCTTTGGTTCCTCCGCAGCAAGATACACGCGTGGCGAGACTAGAATGGCCATTACTCTCTAAACAACTTATGGACAATATTCAAGAACATGTGACCCCATATGAGAAAACCATGCTATCTGCGAAAATGATCAATTAAAGATATAACTTACCAAATTTGTGATAGTGGCACTTTGCAGAAACTAAGATTTTATCAAAAATGTATTAATTTCCTTTCATTTGAAATCAAGTTTGCCTATAATCAAGTTAAAAAATTTACTTACAGTTCTTTCATTTGTTATGCAGCAAGTAAATAATGCTAGATTTGTACATAAAAATGTCTGTAACTTAATTACATCCGTTTAGACTTCTTTTTACATACAATATTTCGTGAAATAAAAGCTTGGGCGTCTATTTTCTAAAATGGTATTTCGACCGCAAAAAATACATAAAAAATAAAAAAAATTAGGCCCAGAGCGGGATTCGAACCCGTGACCTCGTGCTTTTGACTTCTGGAACTTCAGGCATTATCCACTAGACTATTGAGTCACTCCTAGACTAATGTTGTGTACTTATACTTAGATTCTATTGCTACTCCGGCGTTTATTCGAATGTGGCTTCTATTTAAGGATTTACGGTAAATAGTCATAACTCAACACTACGTGTGTCAAACAAAGACAATAAAAATGAAAACCAATGCTTAATTAAAAAGAACATCAATCTCAAACCTCAATTTAGGATCATTTAGCCTGATTTTCTTATATCTGGTCACACATTTTAAAGTCATTCTGAAAGTGAAGCATCGTGTAGCTATGGCCTTTTTATGAGTGGTAATGATGTACTGTCGACTGGATACGTGAACTCTCTAACATGGATTGGATACCCTATGCTTTTTTGCTCTTAATAGAGTAACTAAGTCTACCATTTTCATAGATTTATACTACTTTGCCGTTGTAAAAGGAGCCTAGTGATATGTGATGTCTGTTTGTTTCATTAATGGACCAGAAGGTGAGATTTACTGAATAATGGTTGATGGTGAGAGAAGAACAGACTGATCGGAACTCTATTTGGTATGAAATCTCTGGTTCTTTTGAATTAGTGTATTCCATCAATCCAGAAAATCTCATTCCCAATTTTTTGCCAGCCACTTATAAGGACAACAAGTGGCATTCATAATTGGTGCAGTGACACTGTGTGAAATCATGGTAAATTTATTATTTAATAAATTCTTTTACACTTCATTCTACTTTCTCTTATGGAGGAGACAAGTTACATTTTGCATGCTCGTGGCCTGGACACATTTGAAGTTTGCTACCTAAAGATGCACTCTGACTGCCTCTGTTATTCACAGTCCTTTTAATATTGTATAAACGGATTTTAGTACGTCAACCAAACAGTTGCAAAATTAATTTTGAAGTTAGACCTGTGGAGACATTTTGTGGCAACATTTCTGGTGAGTTCATGATTCAGGATTTGCAATATCTTCTGACAATGATTTTTGTTACATGCTACAGAGACTGATCCTCATTTTGTACACTTAGAAGAAAGTATGAAATCTCTCTTCACCAGTTTTTCACTGCGTCCACAACACATTGTCACTAGCATGGATATACGACAATCAACATAAGCAAAACAGAGTTATAAGCATTTTTGTGCTATTAGAGATACCTGACAGAAATGAATAAAACAAGACACTCAACAGAAAGAAAGATGTATGACTCAAAATGACATGATTCAATATATGTGACCATAATTTACAATAGGTACCCTATGGCGGATTTTGCAATTAATCATCATAAAAAATATCAACCTGTGAGTGTATTGTTAGACAAGCATTGTTTATAGAGGCTCATAGTAACTTTTTGCATCCTGTGGGGAAATTTGATGACCAATAGTGCTCTCGAAAGTTCGATTTTTATGGCTACCATGACAAATCCTACTATCTGCCATTAGCTACCTTCTGTCAATTATGTGATGTGCTTAACTATGAAAACACTAATAAAAACCAATACATACCACACACAAGAAATAATGTTACCACAGTAACAAACTACATAATCGTACTACACTCCTTGATTGGTAGATTGAGTTTTCTATTCCCAGTCCATCTCTTAGTTTCTGAAATCTACTTTTCTGTAACAGCTTCGTAAAATTATCAGCTATCATATGATTACTTAAACAATATTTCAAGAAATTAAACATTCGTGTTCAGGTTCTTGAACAAAATATTCTTTATATCAATCAGCTGGGTACTTTTCTACATAACTGGATTCTTGCTCATTGTGATTGTTCCCTTATTATCTTCCTTGATTTTAGTTGGATCTTGTACATCAACATTAAGATCACAGAGCAATCTTACTAGCCACAAGGCTTCTTAGGTTGCTGATCATCAAGTCATATAGACTATTTCACATGTTGAGTGATGTAACTGTGGTTTGCTTTTCATTCAGACAGCTAATTGTTCCTCTTGCCGATAAAATTACATTGTTGAAGCAGGTCGGTTATCAAGATCATTTGGCCAATAAGCATCAATATAACCTTCCCTTTTCTGACTTGTAGCTGTGTTGTTCCAAAAAAGAAAATTATTCCTTTAAGATACCTGCATTTTCGCTTGACAGCGTCATGTCACCTGTAGGAGTAGTAATGTATTTCGATGCAATAGCAACAGCATGTGCAATGTCAGGTCTATTGCTGAAGAGGCATGTATACACTTTTCGCCATTAACTGGTAACGTACTGGATGCACCTTCTTACTTAATTCATTGTATTTTTTATATTTTGGTGCAGATACCACAACAGCATTTGATACACCATACTTGTCAATAATCTTTGGAACATACTGTGTCTTGCAGAGAGATACACCATTCTCACATTTGTATGTCTATACCTAGACAATAATGCAGTTTACCTACATAATTGTTTATAAACTCTTTTAAGTAGTCAAAATTCACCCAGCATGCAAAGAGACAACATTTTGAAGAAACTGGTGCTGGGACTTACATCTTCACTAGGAAGAGTTGAGATAATTGCTATTAATGTAGATGATCTGATTGCAATTACTGAGTCAGGTGAAGCATCTTAGCTGGCAAGGAGGAGACTGTTTTATCCCATATAATGATTACTTTAGTTTATACTAACCTCTCACTTCCTTTCTTTACATAACCAGGACAAATGTCTTTAGTGAGATTGCCACTAGAATTGCAGTTGCAACATCTATTTGGGGAATCTTCATTCTCTCTTCCACTGCATATGTCAGGACTCTATGAATGCAGTAAAAATGATAATCTGAAAACAATGTTTTATCATAATCAATGCCATGTTTCTGGGAACTAGCTACTTAATTCGATCCACTTTACCGTGGCTATCATACTTCAATTTTAGTACCCATTTCACTAGTGTATCCAATGGGGGCCTGAGGGGGCTTTAGCACTCCCCTCATGGCTGGGCTCAGAAAAAATTACTTAAATCCTGGACTCTTGCATCACTACTAAGA